GAAGCCTTCGGCATAGCCGAAGACAGCGCTGCTCTTACTTGTTTTTTTTCAGAAAGATCATCTCGTTATCTAAACGTACTACTTCTCCCCTCTTCTGAGTTTTGTACTCAATAGTAGTCAGTAAATTCAACAGAGGACTTCTCGGTGACAAATAAAGATTTTTTAAAGCTTTAAAATGAATTTTGGAGGGGAAGAGTAGTACTTTTAGAAAACGAATGATCTTTTTGAGAAAAAAAATGTTCATCGTATTACAGGAACTAAAATATGCCCAAAACTATGGTATTTGTACTTTTAGGTGAGAATATCTCGAAAACCTGACGTGAGTGGGCTATTCTGGGGTCAGACTCGAGTTCAGCACGTCAAAGACCTTCGGAAAAGTATAGTCCGATTCTTGGTTAGAAAACCTTGTTGGCCTGTGTTATCTATATCAGAAACATATATATATAGATATGAATTGTATTGTTTAAAATACATTTAAGGATGAAAAGGGAATGAGAGGAGTACACTCTGTCCACGTAATTATTCGCCATATGCCAAATCTTGGAAAGGAGCGGTGATAGATTCAAATTCGCATTCGTATCTATGAAAATCAAATGAGAATACCTCACAATGCAGACAGATTCGACTTCTTTATGCCTTGGTTAAAATGCACGGGGCGTAATCATAACAAATCTTTTCGAATTCATTGGGACCTATTGATTTTAGGTTGTTCCGTTTTACCATACGTTTACGTGCATTAGAACCATTTGCATTCATTTCCCATACACCAGATAATTAAGTAACAGTTAACTCCGTTCCGTTACTTCCATTATAACCCGGTTCTTATTTTGGAGTATATTGGATGAGCTGTAGAACAATTTTCTATACGAGAGCAATATTCAGCCGAATGCCGCTCTGCCATGGAACTACCCAGTCGGAACATACAGAATGTGGTTCCGAAAATAATGCCTTTTTGGTACTAATTTCTTCATGACAAATTTTTCAGCAGTACATTTAATTTAAAACAAATTAACAAATTAATTTTAAACATTTCCTGGAAATAAAGTAGATATTCTAAGCATACGTATATGTACATACTAGCTTTTGCCCTCAGCTCCGCCCGCATGAGGTTCGGTTTAACATTCTGATTATAATTGTAACAAAGAAGGAAATAATTTGTATCACCGAAAATAGGAAATTTTATTTAAAAAAGTTGCTTAGTGCGAATTTAACCCTTCTGCAATGTTGGGAATTCGCCCCTTCCTATAATGTTTCGGATCATTTTGACCCAATAATAGAAAAAATCTATTTTAAGAAAAAAAACGATAGTTCAATTTGAGTTCAGTGAATATTTTATTTATCACTTGCAGATTTTTCTATGGGTATATAGAAAAACTATGTCGTCTTCTAGAAAACAAAATAAAAAACTCTTTTATTTTTTGCAAAACCATAGCTTATTTAAAATTACCTAACTCTGTTCCTAAAGAATTTTTTCATGAAAATTGGGTTATTTTGACCCAAACATTGCAGAACCGTTAAGCTAAATTGGCAATTTGATTATATAAAAAAAAACTTATATTTCATAGGTAGTCTTTCTCTATATAAATTTTTTTTTATTATTTTTACATATAGGTGAAATAAAAAAAAATACACATTTTATATCATATCAATATATCATTATCAGGGAACGGATTTTTTGTACCTAAAAACCTATAAAAAGGCAAAATAAAATAACGAAATAGGCTGGAAAAGGCAAAGTTAAATAGCGAAAAAGGCAGGAAAAGGCACTAGGTATTGCCAAAAAAGCAAAATCATGCACTAAAAAAGACAGAAAATACGAAGAACAATCAAAAAATACATTTATTTTAGAAATGTTTATATTACAAGTAAAAAGAGAAAAACTATGAACTAGTTTCATTATGTGAAAAATTTGTACTTTGAATCTTTGACTATTTTATCCTTTCGAGTTTTAAACTCATAAAACTTTAATCTGTATAGTTGTAGTAACATTGAACCACAGATGCATTTTGAAGTTTTCTGGCAGCGAAGAAAAGTCTTGAATGTACTAAATGTGCGCTCGACGTCAGTTGATACAAGTGGAGCCCAATTTAAATATGGAACGTTTGAAACGTTCATATTATCAGGAATAAGGGCGTTTTGCTCACCCTTTACAATTTTATTTACACCCCTTATTGTCCCCAAGCCCACGTAGCTGAGAAAACGGCTTTGAATTTTTCCAACACCAAATTGGCAAGAGGTCCCTGCGTTTCTACAAGCCGCATGGGCATGTGTATATTTTATAATCTTAAAAAAAAAATTGTAAATGCTATAATCACTTTTTTAAAGGTAGAAAAGGCAAAAAAAGGCAAATATCTTAAAAAATGCAACATAAAATGTGTATATGGAATCAGGGAAAGCTAAATCGTGGACATTCTTAATCGAATATACTCTATCTCTTTAGCAGAAAAAAAGGCAATTTCCATGAAATCCGTTCCCTGATCATTATTATACATAAACCCTGCTTTCATACTTACTATCTAGCAAAAGTTTAACTTGTTAAATAAAATGTTAATTGTTAATTAAATGTTACTTTTTGATCAGGTGGCAACCTTCTAGAAGAATATTTTCGTAAAAAACCGTTAATTAGACACATATGGATGTGATATTTTGTTTATCTAACTAGTTAATTGATATAATATTTTAACAGGGGGCAACCTCCTTAAAAAATTCGAAATAAATCGTTTTGGAACCCCCTTTTCTTTTGAAGCCCACATTTTTGTAATATTTTATTTAACTAATTAATCGAATGACTTTAACTATTGAAAAAGGTGGTAATACTATACATTTTAATATCTACTCGTTCTAAATATCAGAAATTGATGATTGCACGGCGTTGATACTGCAACTTTCTTTTCAGATCCACCACCCCGATCGTGGTTTAAACTTTCCTATCGTCTCTACACGTACTTCATAGGCGGTAATGATTTAACTTCACCAAATGTACCTATCTCATTGGTACCAGTCGAATTAAGTCCAAGACCGAATTCCACTACAACTTCACAGATTAAACCCATCCAGCCAGCCAATAAATATCCATCTTTTACACCTGTGCAAACCGTTCCTGGTTCAAGTGTGATCAACACACAAACGTCAACTCCTATGCCCATCCCCCCGACACTCACTCAATCCACAAACGCACTCAATCCACAAACTGAACTTAGTCTTGATGCCATTTGCGGTAGAGAGGCCAGTGTAGTTCGTGGCTTTGTCTATGGTGGTATCGAAGTGGCGCGTGGTCAATTCCCTTGGCTAACTGCTGTATATAAAAAAGATACAGATGCATTGAGTTTCAAGTGTGGTGGCTCGTTAATATCACGACGCACTGTTATTTCAGCAGCGCATTGCTTCCGACGCTTGAGAGCCGAACAAATTGTACTATTTTTTGGACGACACGATCTTGAGAATTACAGTGAAGAGGGAATTTTAGCACGCGATGTCGACAAGCTCATCATACATCCTGAATATCAAAACGATAAACCGAATGCGGATATAGCCTTGCTGCACATCGAACCCTTAGAAACGTAATAAAGCATTCGCTAGGTTTTGCAAACCCTTGTACGCTTTGCAAAGTTTTCCCATTGGAAAACTAGCTCAACAGTGTAATTCGTGCACCGAGCAAGGGTTTTGCAATACTTGGAGAATATCTCTAGTGTGATATATGTATATTTAGTAAATATTTTTTGAAATTTTTCTCATTGCAGATTATCTCAATACATACATCCAATTTGCTTGTGGCGTGAATCTGTTGAGATTTCGTCAATTGTTGGAAAGACTGCTACTGTCGTTGGTTGGGGCTATGAAATTGAGAGCAATGAAGACATCTCGCCGTTGCCCAAAATGGTTGATGTCACTATAGTGAGCAAAAATGATTGCATGAGTTCGTCTGCTACCTTTCAACAACTCATCACCGATAATACAATTTGTGCGGGTAATCGTGATGGTACGGGACCCTGTGTGGGTGACTCAGGAGGCGGCCTAATGATGCAGCGGGGCGGTCGTTGGGTTTTGCGCGGCATTGTGTCCGTGGGTCAGTCCTCGAGGCAGCGTTGCAATTTATATGAATATGTACTTTACTGTGATGTGGTGAAGCATATGACATGGGTGAGACGGAACTTTTTGGAGTAGGTGGTGTGTGGAACCGCCTTTGTAGTTATAATTTTATTGAACGTTTTTGTTTTTCAAGTCCAAATGTGAAGAAAAAGTTTAACAACGTGTGTAATAAAGTATTTTTTTATAAAAAAAAAGGATTTTTGCAAAAACATATATTAAGAATATAGCATTATAAGACATTGTACCATCGAGAATTCGAAAATTCAAATACAAATGTAAGTACATATTTATATGATTTTGTTCACACATATGTAAGTACATATACCTAAAATTTCTATATAGGCGCGTCACGATCGAAATATATCCCGCAGAAGATGATTATTTAAGCTTTGTATTTAAATATTTTGTATTTAAAAACTGTTCAATCCGTGCTTGTACCTATCTTAATTTACTATTTATATTTTTGAAATTCGCCAATTCTTACATTCGCATTACAAATAATTTAAGAAAGTCATGCAAAGAACCACACAAAATTGGTCCAAGACACAAACCCAGTTGAAACTTCACTCATTCTCTTCTCTTCTCCTTTGCATTGCTTTCTTCTCTTTTGGAGTTTAAATTCTGTGCCAACTGAAGCCAATTGGAAATACCAAGTGAAGACACCTACTTCTACTCTTGGGTTTCCAATGCAGAGGAGGCCTTTCTCTTCCCCTGGTAATATCATCGCGCGCCATACACTAACACAGGCACGAGAGTGATTATAGTGTAATTTTTGTACGACGAAAGAGGACTTTACTTCTCACTTGGCACTGGTTTCGGATTGTTTCTTCTTTCGGAAAGGAGAATTAAACTAAAATTTTAAATTTTATGGGAATTTGAGCAAGCACACTTTGTGTGTTGGTTTCTGAAAAGTATCTGTTAGTTCGAACCTCTCTTCTCAAGCAACACGGAAAAGAAAATTCTGCTTAGTAAGTAAGGGTTGTAGTGCCTAAGGGCGGCCAAAATTTACTAATAATTTTCTTTTAAATATTTTTGGCATTTTATGAGAAAAATCAACGATTTTGCAACTGTTTTCAAGAGGCTCGCTTGAGAAGCCCTGCAGTTGGAGGAGAAAGAGAATCATGCCATTGAATTCATTGATCTTTGCTCTTTAAAGCTGGAAAGGTGGGCGGTTCCACCTTAAATGAAAAATGTAAACACATGCTTCTAAGAACACATCTCCTTTTTTTATTTGCAACATGGCAATTGATTTAAGGGCGTAATCCTATTATTGAATCATGGTACATACATCCGTATATACATATGTACATATCCATTTATAAAGCGCAGCTTTGGGATTCACCTTATATATAGTCGTAACGAACAAATACCAGACAAATTCCTATATGCGATTACATACATACACACATGATTTTGCGCGTACGTAACTACATACATACATACATACATACATACATATGTACATAGATTCATAAATATAAACCGGTTGTGGTAAATTAAAGTGGCACATTATGTCAGGCAAATTTAACGCCCAACACAAAAACGTGAGCGTAAAATTATGATAACAACACCAAACGCATGCTTAGACAGAGAGGTTATATAAATACCTTGGCACTCGCACCATTAGAGGTTTGTGTTGTCCAAGCTCACCCACAGCGGCTTACGATCAAGAAATGATCACCTACTGACGAACATGATCGCCGATTCGCACCTTAGGTATGAGGAGTATAAGTAAACAAAAGCACAGTTTATTTAAATAACCAAAAAAAAAAGAAAATGAATAAAAAAAACTCATGTTACAGGTGAGAAATGATTAAAAGGCAGAAACATTTTTTGCAAGTGGGCTTAAGTGAGCAATTGCTTTCGAGAGTTTTTAAACTTTGCAAAATAATTGAAAAAAGGCTATTGTTCGTGGATTGATAAAAAATTCAAGTAATTGATTGTACAAATAAACAAATTTCTGTTATTTCCTGGGTATGCACATATATTGATGAAGCAAAATAAGCGTGGGTAATTAATTGCACATAAGTATGTATGTATAGAATACATATATATATATATATATACTGTGTATATATAATGTACCTACAAATACGGTTGCCACTTGTTAAAAAAATAACCAACCAAAATCTTACAAAAAAACCAACCAAACTGAAAGAAAACAGCCAACTTTATTTTCCACGTATTTATTACGAACAGCAAAACTTATTACAAAAAAAAAACGTCCCACGACACCCGGGTCTACATAACCGGAACGACCCAGATTTATATTTGGTCAAGGACTGTCACTCCAGCAACACTCGCAAAAAAAACTCTTTGGGGAACTTGTGTGCTGCTACAACAACAACAACAACAATTATTGAACTGCAAATCCATTTTTATTACCTCGCTTTTATTAGCTCGGGATGTAACTATGTAATATTGGTGCGCCTAAAAGATGCAGCGATTTCCATTCTCAAGTTACGTACCTGATGACAGTACGTATGGGAATTGCTTTAAACTTCCATTCTTAAAGTAACCTGATGACAGTACGAATGGAAATTTTAATAGCGAGGTTTTAGTTTTTTAAACTATAATTTTATTCATCTAACAACTAGTGCGCTCGATTACCTTATTTTCATAGTTTTTATATATATATATTTTATATGCAAATGTTACATTAAAATAGGATTTTGAAAATCAGTGTTTAAACTTCACACAAATTCAGAATATTATGAAAAATTTCCAAGTAGCGAAAATGCTCACTTATGGTATCGTCAGTAATGAAATCGCTAAAGCAATGATAGTAATGCTGCTATGCGAAGAACTTCCAGCAGAATTTTCTTTATTTTTCATACAGAAACTTCCTTACGAGTTCACATCAACCACTTCATATAATTTTCTTTGAAGATTCGTAAAAAAATCTTTACAGAAATAAGATACTCCTAAATATTCTACCTTTATATATGTATGTATGTTTCATGACCCTGCAAACCAAAGTTCCCGAAATCTTAACGAAATCTCTAGGAGATTCTTATTTCAGTAATGATTTTTTTACGAATATTCAAAGAAAATTATATGAAGTGGTTGACACGGGCTCGTAAAGAACTTTCTGTATGAAAAATAAAGAAAATCTGAAGAAATTCTGCAAGACATTTTTCACATAGCAGAATTATTTTGATTTCTTTACCGATTTTCCTCCGAAATTTTGTAAAAGAATCGAAGTGTGCACAATTTATTTCATTTTAGAAAATTCGGCAAAAAATAGAAAGAGATCTTTACGAATTCGATAAAAATAATTAAAAAAGAAAGCAACCAAAACAGAGAAAAAAACACAAAACAACCAAATTCGAGAATTAAAAAAAAAAAAACAAGTTTGGTTGGAAACAACCAACAGTGGCATCCGTGCCATACTTATATATTTAGTACTTAAGTACATACATACGTATGTACATATAATAACTAAAATATTGGAAATTCAGTTTCTGAATTTACTTCAGGCAGCCGGATCTTCATTCAGTTTGCGACGCTCATTGCGTTGAGATACGAGCCGCGCAGTGCGAATTCTGATTCGTATAAACTAAGCTTAAATTACGAATTGTTGTGACGCATTAAAGTCTGATTGATGTGTTGTAAAGATTAAATAGCAAAGTAAAAGAATTATCAATCAAGTGCCGTGAAGTGAGGCGACGAAGATGTTGTGCTAAAAACTCAAGCTTAAATAATTGAAACCAAACTCAGGGAAAATCAATCAAAAAGAGAAAATAAAATAATTATGATTGGCTTACCGCTAAGAGAGAATATACGTGTAGTAAATATGTTGTTATAGTATCTAGAGAAAATGTGAAAAAGCAAAAATTCGCATCAGAGCTGAAAATCTATTTTAAAAATATCTTAAAGCTAAGAATTCTGTCAGTGTTCCACATTTCATTGCTCCGAGTTTTGACATGCTCCACGCGGTTTTGCGCATCACTGCGTTAACACTTTTCTACTCTCTACTGTGGCATTTGCCATTGATCGGCGATGCCCAACAAGTGCCACTGGTTGCTTGCCCCAAATACTTTGAGTACTTGAACGATGGTAGTCAAAATTTCGGACGCATTACGCTGCCCAACGTTCCAATGGGAACAACGCGGTTGAGTGTGCGCTTTTCACAGCAAGCGCCAGTAAACTCGGTAAGTTTAAATAAGTTCTAGTTGAGAAACATCTTAGCTAAGAACAGTTTAAGATTTTGCTTTGCTTTTGAGTTTCACAATGCATACTTATTCAAAATAAACATATGTATGTATATACCAAACGAAAGTAAAGTAACTTGAATTTTTGATTAAAGAGAACAGAAATAAAGTAATTCGAGTGGTTTTCGAGCATTTTGGTAATAATAAAATTAGCTAATTTTTTCAAAAATTGTTCCATTAAAATGCTCAGTTTAGGGCCTTATGTATATTCCGAAAATGAAAGTTATACATACAGTGACTCAAACAAAAGACCACGTGCTGATTTTTATTTAAATATTCGTAATATTTTTCGGGCTAAATTTTTTTTGTTATATTTCTTCCAAAATAATGCCAAAAAGATTGGTAATCTTGACTTCATCTCCATTTTCGTCACGTTCAGTTCATAACGGCTGTCCTCTGGGCGGTGAGCTTTCTCTACTACTTTGATGCTTGCTAATTGGTTCCCTGTTGGTCAAACTGCACTCAGGCCTATTCAGATGATGCAGGTACTTCCCTGTCAGTTGTTTGCAAGAAAGTGTAAATGGCACTGAATACTTGTGATTGACACTTGTTGTGCTCTTTACTAGAAGGAGACGTTTGGACGGCCTTCTTCCTCCTTCCCTTAAAAAATTTAAATAGGGAGATTTCTACCGAGGTGAAGAATTTATGTATGTAGTTTTAATCCTAGCGTTTACTTATGGAAGTCTAAAAATGGACAAAATACCTCCAAAACTTTAACATCCTTCTGACAATGTAAACAGGTCTTTTGTTCCCTGAGGCTGAAGAATGGCCTAAACCTGAAGGCTGGACTAACCCTAATGCCGAGCCCGGGCGAATACATTGTAGAATCTTTAGTGATGACTCTAAAACTGACGCAGAGTATATATCGAAAATAACGGCGGACGATCTATACTTCTCTGTTGGGGAAAGTGCGTAGGTAATTCAAGTCAAAGTATTGCAATTTTCAAGATCATGGACTACATGATCGAAAATAGGT